GTCTGTTTAGCGTAATCTGGTCAGTGCTAACAGCATCATAAGCAGGAGCAATAAGCATAGGGAATTTGAGTGGGTCTCAGTGAAGCATTTAGGATATGGGGAAAATGCCTCCTCCTCTTCATCATCACCACCTGCCTTCATCATCACTGGAGAAACTGTCCAGAGGATGCTGCTTACCTGGGACCCCATGGTTGCCCTTACTGGCTGGACTCTGGGGAGTTTTTCTTTCTCCTCTCTGCATTTTCCCCTCTCCTGTTGTCCTGGGTTGAGTGAGTGGTGGGGTTTTTTCGTGGCAGGGGAGGGGGCTATAGGGACAGCCCCCTGTGAGAAGCTTCTCAGAGCTCCCCCAGCTCCAAGTCAGCTCCACCTCTGCACCAAAACTGAGCCAATCGGCTGCACCTCTGTGATAACGTATTTAAGAAGGGACGTGGTGACGGGCAGTGGGACTTGTGAGTTGCGGCAGCTGCGTGAACACCAAGGTCAGTGGAGGAACGGGGGAAGAAAGGAGGGGGGAGGTGTGCCGGAGCAGAGACCTGACAAAATGGGATGCCAGATGTGTCAGAGTTCTTTTGCATCCCATGAATGACTTTGGTCTTCCTGCAGTTTGCTTATTAAATACCTGTTAAATTATCCTTCTTCCTGGCACAGAGGGTGCTGGGCACTATGTAGTCCAGCATAGAGAGGCGAGCATCCCAAGCAGTGAGTGGTCTTGGAGGTGTGTTAGCCCAAAGGCTGGCTCGTGTGCTGGTGCTGCAGGGCTGAGGTCCCTGGTGTGAGGTGGGCTGGGCACTACATCACACCAGCAGTCCCTGCCTCTGCCTGTCACCCCCAGCAGAGCTTCCAGCACTTGCCAGAAGCCTGTCTGCATATCTCCAGGCCCAGGAGATTCTGTAAACTGACCTATTTTCACATTTGCTACTCCTTTTGCTTACAAAAGCAGATTTAACTTGGTCCTTATTTTGTTTTGATTCTATTGTGTATATAATAATTGTATATTCCATGGAAAAATATAACTAGCTGACTTATTCGCAAAGGGATACAATATCAAATATAGTGTTATTTCTTTATATTCATAAGTAATTGATAGAAAACAGCAGGTGTTATGTTTTGTCTTGGAACAGATAACATTCAAGGAAGAAGAAAAGGAAACTCTCCTTTTCCCATGAGTAAGGGACTGATAAATTATTCCATGATAGATAAGGATAGAACTCACACAGGTAACAAAGCTTTGGAAAAAAAGCACATAATATTAATAGTGGTAGTAATAACAGTGCTAATAAAAGATGAATGTATGCTTACACTGCTAAAAACTTGTTTGGATGAAGAGAACCAAAGCTTTCCATATTATTGAATCTAGAAGAAAAGCTTTTTATTGCTCTTAAATTAAAAAATAAAAAAAAAAAACCAAACCAAACCAAAAACAAGCCGCTGTACAAAAGCAGTGGATTTGAGGCTGACAATAGATAACCCAAAACTCTTCCATTTTCATTTGCTTTTCTACATTTGTGTGTGGCACAAAATTGAAAATCCAGTGTAAGAAGAATTTGTTGCTCCAGCTGTCTTTACATGTATAAATAGGGAGAATAAACATGTTGAACACTTCTAAAACCCAAGAAAATTCTTCTGGGAGGAAGTTGAAGTAAAAGAAACAAGGTATAATGGTACCTTACCCATTCCTATCCCAGTCTCTTCCATATTGCAGGCTAGATCATGGGCTTTGTGCACAGACTTGTACTACTTAAAAAATCTTGTTCACTCCATCCAACTCATCAATATGAAGAAAGTGAAGAAAGGATTAAAAGTTGATTTTAATGAAATACAAGAGAATTAACTCACAAAATGCTCCCACATTCTTATATTTCATGCAGTCCCTTTCTGATTACATCTTCTATTGATATCCATCTGAGTTGGTGATGAATCTCTTCTATGTATTCTTCACTCCTCCAGTGTAATTGAGCCTTACCTATCTGAGATATATTTAGATAACTGGTTGACTGTGGTGCTGTACAATTGATTTTAAATTGGTGCTGAATAGTGGAATAGTTGCTTGCAGTACAAAATAATAAGTGGAAGAAGCTCTGAGGACTGTCCAAGATCAGTTTAGAGATAAGGGTTAAATCAGACCTTGTGAAACTGGGCACAAATCAGCTCAAGTCAAAGGAATCACTTATGCCAGGGCTGAGTGTGGCATAGTGAGCTACGAGCTGGATTTACAAAGCTTTCTGGGTGCACAAAATACCATTTGAACTGATCTTTTGTGTTGGTCTTGTGTAGGGAAAGTTTCAGATATTTTGAAATTTGCTATAAAATAATGAGAGAAAAATAGAAACCTGATGTCTTGGAACAGAAACTACTCCGGTATTTAGGACACTCAAAGTACATCCTGGTAAATAGAAGTCTGAATCTCTGCTTTTTCTGGCCTGGAATAAAGACTTAAACATAGTTGTCCCTCTTTTCAAAGGCCAACGCAACATAATTTGCCATTTGGCTCTCCTGTTAGGTCATTCTTCACCTGTCCTCTGAAATGGCAAACATATCTACGACCTGTTTCCAGCACAAAAGTTACAAAATTACAAAGTTACGTTCTGGAAATGTTTGCATGAAGTGAACTTTCGTCAGAAATTAAGCTTAACGTTTTTTTGTCTATCTTCTTAGTACATCTTTTTACTTAAGAATATGGCTTGGCCTGATCTTCAGTCAGCTCTCTGATCTGTGTCTTCAAATGTACTGAATTTTGTATTAGGCATCTAATGACTCTTTGGAGGTGAAAAGGAGTTGTAACTTATGATTTTAAAAGTTGGAAGTTTTAGTATGGATGTCAACATAGATATTTAGACTTGCTGATAAGATAGGTAGGAGCTCATTGCAGCTTCACCAGTTATGTAAGAAAACTTTCCATTGTATTTACTCTGGGAAAATGGTGCCTCTCTGTCAACATCTGTATGCCACAGGCAAGGATGGGCTTATTTTGAGTTTAGCTTATTAGCAAAAACCTCAAGATCTATTCTCTTTCTTGAGCGGATGGTTTTCTAATAGGCTCAGAGCTGAATCAGAGATTTTGTATTGTGTTGCCATTCATTAAGTAGACTGAAGTAAAAGAAGGGGCTGAAGGTCTGACTTGCTTGGCAGGCAGTAAGGAAGAAATCCTGAGCTTGCATCTCTGCCATTCAGTTTAAAAATATTGAATGCATCTGATGAAATAGGACGTTATTCCTGCCCACTTTAATTCTCTATAAAACTTTTGCAGACTGACTTTCCACAACAAAATGTGAAGGTTTCTCTGCTACTCTGAACATGTCCTGGAAGATGCCTATTGCTCCCGGCTGCCCTTGAACTAATTAAGCTGCAGCTCAGATAACAGGACTCTCAGTTTTTCCAGTTGTATTAATTCAAACTTGTTGAGTTGGTGAGAAGAGAAATGAAAATAACTGAGCCAGAGTTACAGCATTCGTGGCAAAATTTGGCATAAGGAAAATGTCCTTTTACTGGTTCTAGCTGAAGGGGAAGGCATATTTTACAGATGTAAAGGAATTTTTGCTGAAACCATTCTTGTCCATTTTTCTTTAAGTGAAAGGATAGAGTCAAGTTCTGAAGCAATCTATTTTAAAACCAAAAGTTTACTAACAGATTGCAAGGAATAAAAAGTGGTAAAAGCATGTCTGTGGACTAAATTTTATACTTGGAAGTTTTTATTGGTTATTCCCTTTAATGTTCTCTGTTTAATTAAGACACTATATAGATAAGAATGTTTCAGATTCTTGACACAACAGTAGTACAAATGTTTAATAACATACTTCAGAAAATTTCAAATAACAATATTTTTAGTAATATTTTGTATATCCTAATTATGATTTTGAATTCTTACAGTCTTACTCTCTTGAATGATTTTGTAGTGTTTTTTTTCATGTAGTCAGTGGGCTGAACATTATAAAATAGGGATGCCATAGTAAAATATTTACATTGGCTTTCACATTTTTTCAGTGATGGACTCAGGCTTTCTTGTTTTTAGAGTACTGCATAGCTTTCACCTGACTGTCATCTCTTCCATCCAGTTACATGCTAAATTATCTATATAATTTTTGATTACTCTTCTAATAGAAAAAATGTTTTGGGTTTAAAGTACTAAAGTGAATAGCAGCAAGCCTAGTGTTAGTACCCAGCTCTGCCACAGTCTTCTTGAATGGTCCTTGGCAAGTTGCTTTATCTCTCTGAGCCTCCTCCCCTGTCTGTTAAAGGATGGAGGAAGGTTTGATGGTTCATCCTTTCTCCCATTCTTCTAGAAGAAACTTGTTCTGGGGAGTGCTGAAACATGACTTAGATGCCACTGCATCAGTAGTTCAGGCACGTGTTTCCAGTTTTGCTTAAAAAAAGCATAGATACATGCCATTAAATCATTTACTGAACAAGGATCATGGACTGAAGTTTGTTCAAGGTAAGAAGCACCCTTGGGAGTGTGCCTGTTTGTACGCTGTGTAGGGGTACCAGCTGTGAAGGAGAGCTCAGAAGGCTGGAGTGGTACAAATGGTTGCAAAGGGTGTTTTGTACAGGGACACTTGGATAGTCACGATGTAGTGTGTTTTGGCTTGGGCTCTCTTCTGAGAAAGGACTTTTCTTCATGTCTATACAAATACTTCCACATTTTCATGTCACTTTTTGGACTGTTCCCTTGCACACTGGACCTGCATTTGTTCGATTACTGTGGTGTGTCTGGAGGATGGGCTGAGGTTGCTATTTCTCACACTAGAGGATTGATTTATGGTCTGTTTCTTTGATTTCAGCATGATTATACCAGGGTTGAATGTGAAACTGCTCTGCTATCCTATTAAAATGGGAATGACTGTCTCACTGTCCTGCAATGGAGGAGTTGGCAGCTACTGTCAGGCTGTCTGAGAAACTGGGACTGTCAGTTCTTGGCTGTTTCTGTCCTGCTAAGCTAATGGTCAGCTGAACAGCCCAGTTAAGAGTCAGGTCTGGTCTGGTCTCTTTGCCAGTCAGTGCTGACCATGAATGCTGTTAGAAGTGCTGTCATTTAACTAAAATTCTCTCTATGGTAGAAAAGCTGTGCTGAAAAGAGATTTTTACTGTGTTAAGCCCTGAAATGCAAAGTAAGTATATTTTGATTCTGCATTTGATTATGAGTATGATTACTTCCTTATTGCAAAACATGGTATAAATAACAACCCTAGATGCAGTCCTGGCAAGCATTATTGGCATCAACGTCAATCAGTGTGAAAGGAGTATACATGTTCTTTTGCAGAATTGGGCTGTTTATGATTGGAGTTGGTGGAAGGGAGGCTAGACTGTAATTTTACTGAATTAATCCCATGCTTGGATTAATTTAAAACATTTTTTTTTTCCTAAGGGGAAGATTATCTGTTTGGTTTAACGTTCAGTGGCATTTACACTATGTCTGAACGGCTCACATAATTTAATTTTTAAGTCTGAAGCTCGTTTTGCATTTTGAATCCCCTTTCTCCCCTCAGTACTCAGATGAGAGCAGGAGATTGTTTTAGCTGTCTCATCACCTATGAACATGATGTTTAGGTTTAATCAAGTTGCTTATAAACAAAATGTTTGCTCTTAGGCATTTCTCCTGAATGTTGAGGAGTTAGCGTTCATATAATTTTATAAGAAATACATTGACAAACTGAATGAATTGATAAACATACATTTTTCCTTAATACGTGGTTTGTAGGAGCCATATGAGAACAGTGAGGATTAGAATTAACCAAATAGCAAAAGAATTAAAAAGAAAAATCTCCTAATATATTAGTTATACAGGGAAGAGACTGTAGCAAACTGTCTATCCCTTCTTAAAAATCTTATTAGTATCTATATTTTAAAAAATCTAAGCTATGGTTGGTGCAGCTGAGTGTTTGCTTCAGTGACTGTGTATGTTGAATCTGTGCATGCAGCTAGACATCCTTCTGCAAGACAATGCCCAAGGTTACTCTGTCTATCTTATTGGGACTCATCCCCCATCCCAAACTGGTTAGAAAGGTACTTAAGCTTCCTGTTACTTCTTTTTTGTTGCATCATTTTTCACCTGTATTCACTGGTGTTTCTTTTCCAGTGTGTGGGTTTGAACCTCCCATGTTACTAAAAATTGAAGTATGATGTAACTAACTTTAATTTCACTTCCATTTGTAGATCAAGCTGTTCTCTCCTTATGTCCCATGAGACCGAGATGTGGCATCAACTGTGAAGCCAGTTTCCATCAGACATTTAAAAAAGGCAAAGAGATTAATGTGTGCATATCCATAAATGAAAAAAAAAAAAAAAAAAGAGCATGTCTCAGAGCTGGAATTAATTTCTTCATGTTTTTTTTTTCCTCAGTCTCATGTACCATGTAGAAAGTGTTTTATTCAGGGTGAACTTGTACGTGAAGGGGTATGTTGTCCCTTTAGATGACTTGATTCAGATTTGAGTACAGATGAAAGCATGTCTGACATTTATTTCCAAGACTATACTGGGAGACAGGGTGACTCTATTAATCAGCTGAGTTTTGTGCTCACGCTCAGAGGCAGCAACATGCTAATGTACCACAGAATCCTTTCTTACAGGTCCTAAAATAAACTGCATCGGGATTTCATTGAAATAGCATATCAGCCTTCAGCAAGGTAAAATTTGATAAGGACTTATGTATATTCAGTAATGGATGTCAGTGAGTGGACTAATATATTTATTGTGATGGTGAAAATGGAAGATTTTAGCATATGTCGTGGAGTTACAGTGCTCAGAAGCCCATAGAACAATACTGGTTCTTTTTCATGTCATTCCAAATCATCTTTAGAATACAAATTCAAAGTTAGTTAGTTTTATTGCACAGATATAACTTCAGTGGATCATCAGAAGCCCACATCTACCTCTAGTAAATTTTGTTATTTTTCCTGGTGGCTGAAGGATCAGAGCTTTCTTGTGTGGATTATCTTATGCTGTGGGAAAAGGGAAAAAAGGAGAATTGCTCAGCTGTCATTATTGGTGGTGGTGCAATATGGAGGTTCAAGATAAGATGAGAATTTTACCAGTTTGCAATAGTCTCCATGCCAGCTGGAGACTGTCAGAAAGCATTGTGCTCCTGTCAGTTCCCATCTAGAGCTTTTTGGAAAGGTAATGTTGAGGGTCTGTTTCTGCTGAGAGCTCCCTGTGCCTGGGGAATTACCAAAAAGGGAATACAGAGCTCATTTCTGTTTTTTCTGCACACCGTGAACAGCACTTAGGAAGCAGAGCATTTGGCCTTACGTGCTGTAGTTGTATTAAGCTGCTCCTTGCCCTCAGATGCTGCCAAAATATATATATCTCAAAGTTAAGTTCCACGTCATTCTGATGTCTGCCTGTGAATACCCTGAAAAAAGTCATTGCACTGTTGACTTTCAGTATAAAGTGTGAGTCAGAAGTGTCCTGTGTGACTCTCTCTGCCTTACTGCTAATGATTTTATGGTAATAACCTCACTTGGAGATAGAAGATGTACAGAAAAACTGAGTCGCTTTCCCAAATAACATACTAAATCCAATAAAAGATTTGCGGGAAGGGCATACAGTATATGTACCAAAGAGTCTTGTTAATGATAGACATGTGCTGATGTTAGTTCCCACTCTTCATTGGTATTACTTGAATAATTATGAATTACTTCAAACTTCCTAGTCTTCAGACCTCAAGAAACCAAATGGCAGCTAATTTTAATCATTTTTTCAGTGAATGCATACAGTATGGAAACTCATCCCTCCATTCCTGCTTTGTACTTGGAAATCCTTCTTTGCCTGAAGTTCCACTGAGGCTTTCAGCTACTCGTGTCTTGTGCTGCCTACAGCTACTGTTACTCCAAAGTGTTGCTGTGGCATAGGTGTGAGCTCGGAGTTTGTGATTTGTGTGAAGACTGAAGGCGGTGGTGTAAGCATGTGACTGGGAGAAAAGGACTTGGTGGTAGCAGCTCCTCACTCTGGCCTTGAGGTAAGGAGGTAAGCTCCTTGCTTACCTGCTGCTTTAATCTCAGGGGCCCAGGATAAATAAAGGTGCTGAGGCAGTTGCGGACAAATGGTATTTTTACAAAGTTAAAGCATAATCCTCCAGGTGGGAGCAGGCAGGCTCTCACTGATGATGCATCAGGCTTTGCTGAAGGCTTTAGTCTGCTCACCGCTGAGCACTGTATTCACTAACTGTTGGATGAGCCCCTAGTTAATTTTGCTATTTATACCACTTTTAGGAAGAAATCAAGCAGTACAGACTGGGACAGTTCTGGTGACTTTGTGCTCATGCTTCAGCTATTCCAGACCCAAGTGTGAGGCTGTCCCCAGGGGCAGCTCTGTCATTGCTGAAGGCCACAAAGGGACAGCCCTTTCAAAAGCCCTTCATTCAAACATGGATCAAAAAGTACAGGTATTTGCATAATACAGGGCTATAACTTATGATTGAAAATCTTAGCATTCAAAATTTTTGAAGGGATAGAATGGGACACTTGTTTTCCACCTCTACTTTATAAACTTTTCTGAGCACATAAGCACTGGGAGCAGGTTGAGCTATGTAGGTTCATCAATATGGAAATATTTTTTGTTTGTTGTGGTTTGGTAGACTGTCCCTTATAGTTCAGGGCTTGTCCTTCTACAGTTCTCCTCCCTTATCTCCCCTGAGCCTGAACTATGCTCCAGAAAATAAGTTTTCGTGTGGGGAAAATGGGTTTCCAATCATTTAGTTGCAGAGGCAACTTTTAAAGTACAAGCTAGTAAAGTCTGTGTGTTTCCAGGCATTCTGGCTATATCTAAAAATGAAGATATAACCAAGCTGGCTTTGAACCATGTAGGTTGCATATAACAAGGGCAGTGTGCCGAATTAAAGTAGCTAATTAGCTGTAATGAAAAGCTGATATGTGGGGCTGGGTCAAGGCAGCTATCTTGCTTCTGGACTAGCTTGTTCCAAGGAGCCTCCGGGATCTCTCTGCAGCACGGCACCATGCTGAGCAGGCACGTCTCCAGCAATGAAATGTTGTACAGCTGTAAGCTGCCATTGCTAATCTTATTGAGGTGCTGTCTGAAACTGCGTCCTGGCTCCTTTTCAGACCATGACCCTGGAGTGCACAGGCTACTTCCTTGGTGCATCCCATTGCTCTGATTTCAGCAGAAAGGAAAGCCAAGCGAGCTCCAACAGGATCCCAGCTGGGCAATCAAAATCCTGAAGCATGCTCTGTTTTTTTCTTGGTAATTAGGTACAGCCTCAGGCAGTAAGGGTGGGATTCATGTCATTTAATTGAAAGTGTTGGAAAGTTAGCTATCAGTTCTGGACTGGTTGTGTAGGTTGCCTCAAGAGCAGAGAGGCAGGTACTTCCAGTGGATACTTTATCTTATCCTGGAATAAATGAGATGAATCACACTCTGGAGGTGTCTGTCTTTCTCCATTGACTGCATAGAAGAAGCTTTCATGATGACATTGAACTCGATGCCAGTCTTTTAGACAGCTGAAGTTCAGTGAGGTGTATCTTTTGTTATTTGAAACTGCATCTAAGCCATGTGCTGGAACATTTGTTGTTCAGGGTGTAGTAGCAGAAGAGGCATGTTCCTAGTCAGAGGATCTGAACTACCTAGTATAAATAACACCTTGTTTAAAGTAATGAGAAGGTGATATGTGGGAATAAACCATCTGAGACCGTCTAAGAAAAAGACAAACTCAAAAATCCCATGAAGCCTAGGAGTTCAGCCAAATCAGTATAGGAATCGAGCTTAAGAAATTGCATGAGTAACTAAAACTAGCTCCTTAATAGAGCAAGTTAGCAGGACACATTTTATGGGTAGTAATCTAGGGAGTATGCTGCCTTATTTTCTTTGTTTTGACTCCTAACCTAGACATATGCATAGCAAATGCCTTTCTATCAAATTTCCAATAGATAGCATCAGTTCACACAGAGGTTTTCTTTTTCTTTTTTTTTTTTTTTTCTTTTTCAGTGAATGTACACATGAATCAAAGAGGATCTTAAAATGTCTCATTTTCACTCAGAAAGTTCAGTATAATCCTCATGCATGCAATACATGCTGATTTTGTCACCATAGCTGATTTGTGAGGAGTACTGTTGGAGGGTTGAATTTATCTTGAGATGGAGCCAAGTAAAACCCTTTTATTCACAACACCAATGAATAAAAGGAAGAGAAAAGGAAAACAGGGCTTTTCTTCATAATTTTTTGTAGCTTAAAGTTACGTTAAATCCACTAGTTCAAAGAGAGCGTTATAAGGTTCATTTTCCTCAAAAGCTTGATTAAAGTAAACTCAAAAGTTGTTTTAGGAGCTAGAAGCATCAATGACTCGAAATGCCCCCACAGATCATGTCTGAATGGTTGAAGCGAATTCTTCAGAGTTCCCAAGTTTGGTGCAGACCCTGGCTGTGATGGCATGATAGTTTTAAGCTACTGAATTGGAGTGGATACAGGGCAGGTGGGAGCCACAGTGTACTCTCACAGGAGTTGGTTCAGTTTGGCTTCATCTACCAAACAGACCCTTTTGGAACATTTTTTGAGTAGATTGAGAACTGATTTTTGGGAAATGCTGAGAAAAATGACATTGTTACTGGATGACAGGCAGATCCCTAGAGGGCAGGAAAACCAGATTATGAAACAGGAAAGTGAGTCTTATCATTCTTATGTCATGCTGTACATTTATTCCACCTAAACTTCTAATTATACTTGACACATTTTGATACAAATGTCTTTATTCTTTGTTTCTTTAGTCTTGCCTTTTGTATAGGTCATTTTTTCTGTTGTAAGTCTTTCAATATGTTCAGAATTAAAATTGCTACTCACTTATAAATGTCTGAGATTCCTGCACAGCAGCTTTCCTCTGTAAGATTAGCTGCAGCTCAGTTTGGAGGAGGCAGCATGCTGTGTACAAGTACCTCACTTCCAATAAAAAAAGGCAGTTGCATAGAAGTCACTTTTCTTTCATATCTGTAGAACAATTCTAGGAATCTTCATGTCTGTCTACATTCTGACAGTATGCAAGATATTAAGTAAAGTAGGACAAGATTAAAATGTTTAAAATAAAGGTCAATTCCTTAACATTTTTTTTAATAGCTGTTGTTGTAGTCCCTGTTATATATTTATTGCAACAGTGTGTTGAAAACTGAGGTGTTGTAGTCATTACTTGACTGTTAATGTCCTTTTTATCTTCAGACTGTACATGAGTTGTGAGGAGAAGGATACCTCATATGATGGAGTCCTTCACTTGGCAGCCAGTTCCACCGGCATAAAGGATGACGAAATCTGACTGAGTGAAAATGATTGAGTTATTTCTGAATTGCGCTAAATTCACAATTGATGAGGTTCAGTATGGGAGTGTGACAAATGACTGAAATCTACATTTCTAGTACCCAGCCTTAAACTATCTAAAGGCCAAAGCAAACAGCAGCTTAATCTGCAGCATGCTTATGACTGAGTCTGGGCTGAGATTCACTTTGTGAAGATCTGATCTGCCTCTATGGCCCATCCTCATTCCAGTTACCAAGAAAATGGATTAATTATTTGAGCTTACTTTTTCTGCTGTTTTTGAAAACACTGAATACATGACTTTGTAGCTTATTGATGCTAATCAAACTACATTAAAATGTTAGGAAAATGTGAACTACCCGTTTCTTGTACAGTAATCAAACACTGCATTCAGTTGCTACATTGTGGTGCCAATGGCAGCAAAAAGCTTCATATACTTCTCCAAGTGTAGGGCAAAGTGAATAATCATGCTTCAGTCTGATTCTGGAGCTTCTTGTATTTATATTGAGTACTTTGTTTTGTAAATCATTATACAAAAATATCAGCATGCATTAGTTTTCTGACCAAACAGAAATTACTTTTTCCTAATCTATTATCAAATCAATTTCATGTGGGTAGTGTAATTTCAATGTTTTTTCATACCTTCTGGATTTGTAATATTTATACACTTTGAACAGATGTATAGAATTTGTTGGATGTCTGCTTTATCTTTTTTTTTTTTTTTTTTTTTTGTCAGGTGGAAGAAGGAAAATATTAAGGGCTAGACTGTTATGACTTTATCTAGGCTTTTAGGAGATTTCTTTTTCCCAAATGCTCTGAGGTCAGGTTAAATGAGCTAGTTTTTGTTTCATCAAAGCTTGAAACTTGGTTGGCCCGAACTCAGAAAGCCTGCCCCAACCATGGCCTGTGCAGGTATCCCAGCATGCTTTGCACTGGTACATAGCACTCTGGTTTTAAGCAGAGCAGAATACAAACCACTTAGAAATTTAAAATAGTTGGCCAAAAATATGAAGGACAATTGAAAAAACACTTTGAATTGGTGGGTGCCTGTCTTGGCTATGTTTATCAAAGTTTAAACACACACGATTAATATAAATTTTAGTTCAAAAATGGAACAAGAGATAGTCAATTGCACATCAAATAACTGAAAATTCTAAATGGATCAAATCTGGTGCCAGTAACTGGTTCTTATGCCATCATTTTTAATAGAATGATTGAACTTACCTCATTGTCCCTGTTTCTGCAAACACGTAGTCAGTAAACTCCACATATAAGCAGCAAATAATATAAATGAAAGCCCTTTTATATAGTAGCCTGGAGGATCCTTCTGTACAGTTCTATAACACCCATAAAATGTAAATTGGTTTATTCTCAAGATCCACAGATACAGTAATAAGCAGATCTCTGTGTAATGTAGTGGAGTATACAGTTCAGTGATGGCAGCACTACATTTTAATTCAGTGATTATTATTTATTTTAAGTAGATTTCATGATAAGAATGCAGCAACACATAGGTAGCATCAAGTTAGCTACATCCAAAGATAGAGACTGGCAAAAAATCCAGCCTACTGGTTACATTCTACTACTGTTGAGTAAACTGACTAAAAGAATAAAATGAAGCTAGGGAAAAAGTGAAATTAAATTTTACATAAAAATAGTAAATTTTATGTTTAGAACAGCATCTTGCTGTCAATTCAAAATCTAATCCACATGGAACATGGGGCCTAGAGGATTTAGAACATTGTAAGTCCTCATCTAGTGATTTCTTTCCCTGCTCCTGAAGATTGCTAAATGCTTCTCTTCTATGAAAGGAAGAGTCTTAAACCACAGGCATTCACTGAACATGCATGTGGTATCTACGGGTGATTTTTAGAATTTGTGTACACCCCTCCCAGAATGGAATATAAATCTCTGTTATTAGCAGTGGCAGCTTCCATAGATTTAAATGTCTGGAGTTCCTCACAGATAAAATTTTTACAATTATTTTGACAAGCAGCAGCCACCGTGTTTGGTGAGATGGCCTGGTAATATGGTAATTCAGTGCTTATTCACCAAAAGGGGAAAAATAGAAGTCCTCAGCATAATGGGTAATGAATGTGTCTCACTTCAGTGACTACAAGGGGTGGATGGTGAATCATCTTCCTGTGAGAGTGAACATAGCTTTTTTTCCCAATACTTTTTGACATTTTTTATGCTGAAGAATATATAAATCTACCTTCTTTTTGTGCAGCTTGGCTTTAACAGCATCAGGCAAGTTATGCTGAACAAATCAGTCTTACTTCATGTCAGTTGTTAAAGAGTTTATTATTCTTTCAGATTATGATGAAAGTATTAATTGTTATGATTCCAACTGCACAGTTTTGCCTATATTCACTTACGCAGTTATTCTGCATTGTTTTAAGGAAGTGACTGCAAAAGACATATGTCCTGGGTTGAGTGAATGGTGGAGTTTTTTTTGGTGGCAGGGGAGGGGACTATCAGGGCAGCCCACTGTGAGAAGCTTCTCAAAGCTCCCCCAGCTCCACGTCAGCTCCACTTCTGTTTGGGAAATTGAGCCAATCGGCTGCACCTCTGCGATAACGTATTTAAGAAGGGACATGGTGACGGGCAGTGGGACTTGTGAGGAGGAGTTGCTGCAGCTGTGTGAACACCAAGGTCAGTGGAGGAACGGAGGAAGAAAGGAGGGGGGAGGTGTGCCGGAGCAGAGACCCCCCTGTATCCTGTGGTGAGACGGCAGGGCGGCCCCCCCTGCCACCCATGAAGATCTACGGTGGAGCAGACATTGATTTATGGCCTGTTGCTCCTGCTCAGTTGATCAAGGTTCTGTGCCCGAAGAAGGCCAGGGTCTCATGGGAAAAGGTAGCCCCACTGCTGTAATTCAGCGCTGGGAGGATTGCAGCATGCGGGGGAGTCCCACGCCGGAGCAGCTTGGGAAGGGCTGCAGCCGTGGGAGGGAATCCAGTCGGAGGAAGTTAGTGACCCATGACGGAGCAGTGTGGGGAACGCTGCGGCCCATGGGAGGAATTAATGTGGGAGAAAGTTTGTGGAGGCCTGTCTCCTGTGAGAGGGGGACCACGATGGAGCAGGAGGAACAAGTTCCGGACACTCCCCTCACCGAAGATGAAGCAAGTGGCAGCGCTGACTGCACCCCCCATTCCCTGCCCCTGCGCCACTGGGGGAGGAGGTAGAGATATCGGGAGCAGAACTGAGCCCGGGAAGAAGGGAGGGGTGGGGGGAAGGTGTTCTCAAGATGTGGCAATGCTTCTCACTGTCCTACTCTGTTATGTGTTGTTAGTGTCTGTAATAAATGTATGTTCTTTTTTTTAGTTCCCCTAACGAGTCTGCCTTTTGCTCGTGATCATAAAGGGGAATTTTTCCCCATCCCAGTCCTATCTTGAACCCCAAGCCTGGCTCTCTGTCCCTTCTCATTGCTGGAGGGGAAGGGAGAGAGAACTGCTGCATTGTGGTTGGCTGCCAACCAGGCCTAAACCACGACAACATATGAAATATTAGGCCCACAATATTACATTGGAAACTACAGAGTTTCACCTTCTTATTTCAGAGCTAGGAATGGGAGCACATTACTACTCTCCTGGTAACTTCTGAATTCTTTCAATGTAAACAATACTAATTAATTACTTTTGTTCCTGATTGATGGTTTTGCTTTCCACATCCAGAACAGACCCTTATGATGAGATGATCTATCCCTCAGCAAAATACATGCTGCTTACTTATACCAGACAATTTTCTGTCAAATTTATAACTTTGTTTGAGTTACAACACATTTTTTAGGATATGTCATGCAGTAAACACTTTCTTGGTCCATGTTCTGGCTCTCTCCCAAACTTGCCCTCTCCCTGTCTTGAGGAGATCACTTTTTCAATCTCTTTGTACTTCTAGCACTCTCACTGTGGTATATGGTGGATTCTGCTGTTGGGCAACATGACCACCAGATTGAACACCATGCTACTTGGCTCTGGACAGGACTTCGATGTGGACTGTGTCACACCAAATGGCAGCATTTATAAAGCATTTTCTTGTATAATAATGTAGAACTTAGTGTAGTTGTTTCAATTTCAGTATTTGGTCCAGATAGGTGCATAATTGGTGTTATTAATCTTATTTATCCAGGATAGTCTTCTTAGTCTAATGAATCATAACTCCTGATGAGTTCCCAGAAGACACCATAGGGTTTTAAAAGAAAAGGATAGCCAGTCTTGTTTTTCCCTCCCACAACACTCCTATTTTTCAGTGCCGAAAACTGTAAACCTCCTCAAAATAAACATATATAATACATTTATTCATCTGCCTCTCCTGATTATCCCGAAAGGCATGACAGTCTCAAGCTTCTGAGCTGGAATCTGACCTGCTGACAAGCTGATGTGGAAGTCGTCTGAGTCAGGAAGAGAAGAGATACTGTCTTGATGCATTGTCTCAGTAAGGGGCTGGGGCAGGAACTCATTGGAACCATCCATGCTGCAGGACCTACCTGGGGATGCTAACCTTTACTACCAACTTAAATCCCTTCAGTGTCTGTGCCAGGTGCAATTTACAGGTGAGACACCACTTGACTTTGAAAGTTTCCTGAAGGACACAGCTCTCACCAAAATGCAGCCTAATAGCTCTGATTTGGGAATTTTTAAAGAAGTTGATTTTCAAGTTATAAAGTTGATATTTGAAGCAAGTTGATATTTATTGATCATTCCTTTTATAGGAGGAAAAAGACTTTGTGTAGAGACTTTACAAAAGGCCCTTCAACACGGGACCAGGTGAAGTAGCTGTGTTGCTTTCTGGGATAAGACTTTGTCTTTCTTTTCCTTTACCTAAAACCAGTTTTTCTCCATGTGGTTCCATTTTCAGGATTAGGGCTTAATAGGAGATTTACTCTGCTTCTAATTTCCACTTTAGAAATAAAGTATGTTATTGACATTATGTAATGAACTGATCAGTTAATGAGCTCTTTAACAGTTACTAAAAATATAAATTAAGACCTTATAGAGTTTAATAAAGGACATTAAAAGATATGATTTAAAGGAAAGATTATTTTCTTTATTATCAATGTTTCAAAACCCAGTCTGATATTTCATGGTAGATCTGAGTGTCTAAAGAATGACAAAAAATTGTTTATCCCAGAGTTTGTTTTTTCTTTAACTAAGGAAAAACTTAATATAATGAAGGGTAATGTAAATTAACATTGGCTCTGAAGCTGGACATCGGGATTGTTAATTTGGGATTGAGCCAAATAGAAACAAAGTATGCAGTCCTTGCTTTTTGACCTCCTTCAGTTGGAGAAGTCTGCATTCAGAGTCATACATGAACAAATGCTTCTACAACCAAGTATATATACTAACACCTTTGAACAAATGCAATTTTAGATCCAGAAGTCAGGAGGTATATCAGGACTTGATCTTCCATTAGGAAGATCTTGGCTGATAACCTTCTAGCCATTTCAAAGTCCCAGCTATGATTGTATGAGGCAGAAATGTGTTGTAGTGGTGCTGAGTCAGCTGCACTCTGTGGAGATTACAGACCTTTTATCACCTGCAAAATTTAGTCTAGCAGTGCTCAAGGCCATAGGAGCCTTGCTTTTGTCTTGTCACCCTAGAAAACAGATCTGAGAAAGACCCATTTGGTACTTAGTCCTTGACAACACAGCTATCAATTTTAGCTGCCCACTTGAAAATTTAGCCCAAAGCATTCCTTGTACTAACATTAGCTGTGATGAGATCATTGGATATATTACTGGTGGTTTATAATTTTTACATAATCTATTCTGTCAATTTATATTATAACCAAATGACTTCCTGTGGGGGGGAAGGGCTGGAATTTAGAGTACAATGCTTTTCTTTTCTCTGTCCTTCTTCTGCTACCCAGGACATGATTGGTTTCTTTCTGATTCCTTCTTGTCACCCACACTTAGATTATTCCTCTTCCCTTCATGTTGATATATGCTTTTTGTTTCTTCTCGACCTTCAGGAAAACTCTTTTAAGATGATGGAGCTTAAGGCAAACCGAGAATGAGGATGTGCCCTGAATGAGCAGGAGGTGCTACCCAAGGGATGGCAGAGGGGGAAGGAAGCCTAGCAGAAAAAAATCAGTGTATTTCTTAATTTCTCTTTCACAAACTGTTTTTAAAATTGTACAGAAGAAGACTAAATACTTTGGAGGGAGAGCACTACTCTATTAATTTCAATTTTTTATACTTTCTCTTGAGTGCTCTCCATGGGCTGTTTTCTTCAGTTGTGTTTTTGTAACCTTTTCTCTTTGAAATCTTAAAGATAATTTCTTCGCATGAAGAAAGTAATGAATTCAAATTGTGTGATTATTTTTAGCTACGTTTGATGACATAGCCAGACATGCCTGCAGCAAAATAACATTGGTGCTGGCAGAAAACAGGTAGTTAAGCAGGTAGGCTGTAAATATCTACAGTCATTGCTTTAAAGCTATCAATTATTTGTGTTCCCAAGTTTAACTGTTGCACTGAATATTTACCTTGCAAACTGAGAAATAGCAGCCAATCTAAGCAAGTCATTTGCTTTTCAGTATTAATTTCACTTCTTGTGCCAGGCTCTGTAAATGTTTCCTCATATATCATTGTCACGGTGCCATACATTTTAAATGTCAAATTATGCTGTGTCTGGTGTCATAAGACTACTGTTAGCAGCAGGGAGGGACAAAAAATACCACACAGAGAATAAACACTTGTTTTCAGTAGCTTCCATACCTGGTATGCAGTTCTATGGACAGAATTATCTAAGGGTTGTTTGGATGTGTAGAAGATCCTTTGAGTATTTTAGCCACCCCTTGAGGAACCTTTTTCCTGTATTGAAAACAAATGATTTGTGCATTTCAGCTGCAGTATTTCTTCTTTCCCTAGGCTCTTGCATCTAAAGAGAACATGCCAGAAAGGGCAGATAAATGCCATTCTTTTTAGTAGTTATTTTCCAATTATTGTTAGTTCACAAGCCTTTTATGAGAAATTACAGTGCTAAAGCAAAGTAAGAGGCAAACTTCAGATGACTATGTATTGTATGTAGGAGACAAGGGCTCTATTCTGCTCTCCTGCCCCCCATTTACCGTCAGATTTATACCACACTAGCACAGCAACTGAAGATTAAACAGGGATTAACCTTTCTGGTTATCCACAATTTCTCACACTATTTGTAGAAATAATATAATTCACCACTGAGTTATTATTTTCCTTGTGGAGTAATACTGCTATAGAGGTTAAAGAAGTCAGGGCTGTGTAATAACCTATTTATAATAATAAGAGAAGGGTGATCACATTATTATCCTCAAGAGGCTTCACAGAAGGAGGTCCACGATATGTTGTGTTTTGTCATTCAGATCATGTATCTCTACCCAAAGAAACAGATTCTGTGCTGCCTGTCCATGGAGTCAAGCAATGCTGACGTGCCTCCACCATCCCTGACCCCTTTTCAGGTCTCATCCTTCTCCGCCAGAGGATTTAATAAGTAGGTACAGAGCTATTTATGTCAGCATCTCCTCTTATGGTTTGAACATTTCAGACTGGTGGATTAGTCGAGAGGGCTGAAGTCCAAATTTAGTGCCCTTGGGCTCGATTCATTTACTCATGCATGAACACCTAGTGCCATCTGAGCTATCCAGGGGGATCTCTCCAGCAGCCTCTAGAAGGGAATGGGTCTCACAGAGGTCTTGCGAAATACATACCAGCTCTGCAGGAATTTGTCAGATACTCTAGTGTGTCTCAAGTGGCACTAAGTTATTTAAATATGCATCAACACAACAGGCCCTAAATAATCAGTTTGCAAATCGGAAATGGATCTTCCATTTGTCCCACACTATTGCTCAGGTCCAGAAAACAAACACTGAAAATTTTTGTCATTTCAACTAGCTGCCTGTGTAGGAGCAGAGATAAGCTAGAACTGGAACCTCCATCATGTGTTGCTTCTATAACCTAGGCAGCCCCGTAAGCCTTTCCAGGACATGGATCATCTTGGTATAATATTAAAAATAACCATAATGTAATAATTTAAGGTAAGATGAACTGGTGCCTGCAAATGCCTATCTGTTTTCATTGTCTCTACAGTCAGCTTAAGTGACTTGGTTAAACTATACATCTGACTTGCAGATCACTTGAATCAGTAAAAATTAATTCCTACTTTCAGAGAAAAAAGGGCTAGTTTGAGTCAGAGCCTTGACCTAGGAAGAGGTATCAGAACCCAAACTTACATGGAAGGAAAACATCCAAAGTACACGTGATAATCTTTTGCTGGAGTTACCTGTTCACCACCTTTAGTGTTCCTTCCTCATTTCTGGACAATAATTGTGACTCACAACTCTTATAAAATATAGTAGTTCATATTCATACAATTCTTAGTACCTTTCCAATAGCCTGAAGCCCACCATCTGAGCTTACAAATAGCACAAAATGCTGGATTTCATGATTTAAACATATGGCACATCTGTTTTTTACAGTTACATGAAATTTAAGGCTTCCAATACAGAAGACATCTGTGGGCTGCTGTACACAATTCAGAATGAATCGTGATGCGTTGTGGTTCCTATTTTTGGTGCCTTCACTGGCCCCTAGTGTTTCATCTTGTGAGTAAATCAAGTATTTTCTATGAAATTGTATATTTCAAGATATATGACAGTATTAAATGGTATTTAGTTCTCTGACTGTCTTTGAGAATTTATAAAAGTACATTACTGCATTACTCTGATTTGAAATATACAGATGTAAGAATACTACACATATTTAACAGTACATATGTCTTGGTTTCATGTATGCTATATGTTTCATGTATGTTTCTATTAAAAAAATTGTTGAGTATTTCTTGCTGTTGATCTTTATTATTTATCTCGATTCCAATGTGGCTAGTCTCCCAGTGTTAAAAATCATGAGTCAAACTGGAAGTTTTGGAAATAGCTTTGGCTTCATGAAATGTGAAAAAGAATGCATGTGTGTTCTTCAGTATTCCATTTATAGTTGCATTATGGTGATGGTTTTTTAATCTCCCCATGACTAAAGAGATACTGATAAGAAATAAGCAAGAGAAATCTGATATCATTGAATCTCTTGAGCTGAGACTATAAGAACAAGTCCAGATGGCACAAGTCCAAATAATGCTTCATCTGTTCTTAAAAACCTCTAAAAGCAAGGATTTTTTAACTTCCCCAGCTGCTTCAGGACTTAACTCTCCTTATAAACAGACAGATTTTCCCTACACCTTGCATAAATCCTTTTCACCAGTGTTGCCAATTTCTTGTATACAGAGGGTTCACAGAAAACAATCACTGCCACGTTTATGACAATATTTTACATACTCTCATTATGCCTTTTCTCTGTTTGAAATCAAGCCAGTCCCATTACTCTGTATTCACTCCTCATATATTATGTTTCTCAGTCTTGTTGATTTCTGCTGAACTTAATTTCCTAAACTGCCACCACCGTGTCTGATGAACTACACCTACACCTCTACATCCCAGATTTGCATTTACCTTTTTTGCTTCAGCATCACACAAGTGACTCCAGTGTGGTTTGTAGCTTCCCAATCCTCTTTTGCTAGTTTTTTGTTTTGTTTTGTTTTGGTTTGGTTTTTGGCAATTGCTGTTGATGATGATGGTGGATCCGAGGTACCTCTGGTCTTTTGTCAAGAACAGGACCCGACTGTGCAAGGTGCTGTTAGAGCAGAGCACACCAGGCAGCTCTGCCTCCAGGCAGACCCTTCCACTTTCTTGAACCCCAACACTGCTGTGCTCTCTCAGAAAGTGAGACTGATCCTTGCTGTACAGTGCTTATGACTTACTTGGCTCAGCTGAGACTCTGTCTCATGTCTACTACTTGAAGCTGAACTTCCTCATTGTTTGAATGGATTGTCTTAAACCTCCTCCTGTTTCCAGTAGTTAACAATAGTTAGATGAAAGAAGCAGTTCTCTGAAGAATGTATATGGATAATTCCTCCTTGTAATAGGGAAACTGCTGCTGGTTTTATCCAGCACCTCCTCAGACAGCAGCACTTTCATCCCATGTGCGGCATGAAACTGTTGGAGTTGCTTTCTGCAACATTCATTTTTGTCCTTGACATTTTCAAAGCCTCAATTAGGAAAATATCTCACATAGTCATTATATCCAGACTGTGGATATCACAGGGTAGTCATATGGATCGGTGAAAGCTTTGCCTTGGTGATCAATAGGGCCAGGATTCCACATGTTATGTTATAAAATACATTTTTGTATTCACTGATTCTCCTTACCCCTGTCTTAAGCAGGCACTGAAAAGGTATTTGGTATCTCCAGGTGACATGAAGCTGGTTGGCAGAGTTAGTGAAGTCATCCTAGGGAATTAGGTTTTTTGGAAGACAACTAATACAGTATTTCCTTTAAATCCTGTATTTTCTGTATCCATCTTTAAATGCAAATAATTAATCTTCCTCTCTCCCCTTTCACGGTCATTAAATGGAAGTGAGAATTTTATTTAAAAAAAAAAGTTTATTTACCTTGCTTTGCTCGGGACCTAGCAACCACAGGAACGTCACAGGCAGGCAAGTTGTATTGACCATAAACATTTGCCCTCTGTGGCTTTTTAAGCTGGGATGTAACAGTGCTGACTCTTCTCAGCAGTGTATATACACATTTATGGTCACAGAAAGCTATGTGCACTTGGCTTCTTGATTTTAACTGCTTCATGAGAACAAATGATTGCTAAAAGCTGCGAGGAGAGCAGCATTTTGAGCCTTTTTTGCCGTAGCTGGCCGTCCTGCAGGTGGCAATGCACAGCAAGGAGACGGCTCGGCAGAGGGACGTGAAGGAAGCGCAAAGTGAGAATTCGCCTGCTTCCCAAATGCGTGTCAAAATGCCTTCTTGTGCTTCTGACTGGTGCACCCGGCTGCTTTTGCTGGTGCCAGGAATAAATCTGAGTCCTTGTGGAAACAAGTGCAGGGATCATCGTTGGGATCGCTGTAAGTTTGCAGTTTGCTCTCTGGGCTTGGTCAGGAATGGGCATTTATGATCCTATTCCCTCCCTTTTTCCATTTGTCATCCTTTCTCCCTTCGTTTGTGCTATGTACAGAAGTCATTGGTATAAGGGGAAGGCTGTAAAATACCTCTAAGCCAATTTGTATCTTCTGTTTCTGTAGGGGCACCAGAGGGTTCCTTTCCTTGTGGTATCCTTCCAGCTGGTTCTGGTGGGCACTTTGCTGCCAAATCATTCCAGCTGTTTCACTACAAACTCAGACACCAACTACGTTTTCCAGTCTTGTTACCACAATATTTCATATCTGGATGTTTCCTTCACCATTGTCTTGGGACTTACTTTTTCAATACAGTAAGAATATCCTGCAATGCACTTTCTTTGTAAAATATGAGTATCTTCAGCTTTAAACAGTCACTGTCAATTTTTTTTTTTCTCACAGAAAATATTTTTTTTCTAATTGAGCTACTTTTGCAGCTAACAGTGACATTTACAAAAGAGAAACTAGAGAAGCTGTAACAGACCACTCACTGAAATCTAGCAGTCGTGATCATAGACTTCATTACTCTCCAAGTAATTTTATTCTGTTAATGTTTGATTTGATTAGAAATATTTCCAGTGAAGCAGGTTGCAGTATTTGAAGTGCTTGATATTCTTTAAGCCATGTTCAGTGCTTGAAGAAATACAGAAAACCCTTGGAATTTTTTAGCTTGTATTGTTTTCTGCTGTTTTTTGTCAGTGGATCTTAGAAACACTAGTCAGGCTAGAGACGGTAGTGAGTATGCACTGTGGTAATGGGTATGCATTGCTCTTGTAGTGCAAAGTCTCTGAAGCGATGCCTTCTGCAATACCATTTGCGTACACAAATGAAAAGGCTACATGTGCAAAGTTAATATTTCCAAAGAGAAACTAATGCAAATAAGGCATGTTTGCTACTATAAATGCTGTAATTAGCATGTCTGGGTGCAGAGCTATGAGTGTGACGTAAATTTTGCAGATATAAGTAGAAGGTTCAAGTGTTTTCTGATGTAGTTGGTAACATTGCTGATTTGTGGATTTTTATTTTCTTTCAAAAGTATGTACATCCACTATTCCCATTATTGCCTTTACAGTATCTAAAAAACGCTGCAATGTAAATTCTTGTGAGTTATTTTAAACACAGTTTTATGTGATATTATACTTAGGATGGTAAATGTCAGAATTTGAGGCAACCTTCAAAATACATGGGGCTTGTATCATTTTATGTGTTTCCCTTTATGTCTTTGTACGAAACACTGCTCATTGACTTTTACTTTTGCAAAATGTCATATATTTTAGCCAATGTCAACTTCCTTTGCCACATTTGGATCTGATTTCTGCTTTTTTTCAGGATCATAAGTGGTGATTAATGAATTGTCCAAACTATGTATCTCGTTTTCATATTTGTTTTTAGAGCAGCAGAAAGAAGTTCAAATTAATCATCAGTAGTCTATAAATAATTTAACCGAATTATTCTTCATCATGCAGTGTATTTTTATCACTTGTATCAAAATGTATTTATGGTGTCCTTCTGGGATGTGGGTTCTTCTACTCTCTTACCATAATTTATTAATCTGACAAATATGCTGAACGTTCATGGCAGCATTGAGGAAGGGCATTCAGTAATGTTCACTCAATTTCAGATCCCTGATTTAACAACAGCAAAGTTCCACCTGAGAACTGCAACTTTGGTGATTTATTATTTTATAGCACTGATTCTGTGACCCATTTCTGCTATTGTGATCTGTCCAGGATTCCCAGCCATTGCAGGGCATGCCATCTTGCAGTTTTACCATTGGAAAATAAGGAGTGTAAAGATGAGCGACTCAGTTCAGCCCCGAGTTTCATGGGTCTTTGCCCTGGAGCAAAGCATTGAATGAGGAGGTTACTACATTGCAAGAAGCTGAGTATTTCTCATCCTTGAGAGGCACCCAAGCATCCAATAATGATGTGCAAAGACAGAAAAGAGTTGGGAAACCCAGAAGATCTCTTTGATTCAGAGCTCCGGCCAAAGCTGGAAACAATATAAAGTGGCACCAGGCTGGTGGTATCTAGCTGTAGCGGTACTTTCAGAAATGGTGGTGATGTAAACCAGAATGCTCTTGTCTGGCGGCATCCATTAGATCATGATAGCCCAAAATAGCAATTTTGGCATCCTTTTTTTCCCATTCATTTCCCATTCAGTTGTATTATTATTATTATTATTGCTATTGATTATTAATGTTCATTCAATGATGATAATGCCAGATTTCCTTTGAACTTTTTCTCTGCTTTTCTCACTCCCTTTGCTGAATTAAGCTATATTTCTAATTAAGTATTTCTACCATCTGCTCTATGCAGCAATTATTCAAATTATTTGCAACCCTCTGTGCCATCAGGGGTGAATCTAGCACAGTCCTTTAAAGCTACAGATTTCCTGACTGACATATTTTTACCATGTGTCCATGTGTCCATGGAATATGCTATAACTGGTACGGATCTGTAATTCTCTGGGGTCAGGTAGGGGTAGAAGGTTGTGTTTACATTTCCAGTGATTTCAGTGTCTGACTCTAAGGAAACTATTATCTCTTAGTTTTATACGGCAAATCAAGAGAAAGATGGTACTTTATTTTTGTCCCAGTTTGCTGGTTTTGAAGGTTCTCCTTCTTTTATAATCTTAACCTGTGCCAGAATCCTCCACATGCTGAATGCTCTAATTTGTTCACAGTGCTGAACACAACACGTCCTGTGCCTGCACTGGATGTTCTACCTGTCATTCAGAATACAGTTCCCTCTGTTTTGCTATGATTAAGG